ACACACACACACACACACACACACACACACACACACACACACACACAGATATAATTTAAAAATTAACAAAAAGCTGCTTATAAAACACCTGCACAGCTTCAGGCGCTCTGAGTCAGTGTCCTCAAGCAGGGCAGTTCCACACAGATGTCCCAAGGTCATAAAACCCTTAACACCGTGCTGCTACCCTTGCTGCAGAGGAGGCAGTCAGTCCTGAGCCAGTTCTTGCTGGACACAGAGGGCTGCTTTACAAATACTCACAACTGCCCTTTACCCAGAGGAATTTACACACTGCCAACAGTGTCTGAGAACACCAACTCAGGGCTGGAGAGCTGGCTTTGTGCTTAAGAGCACCTGTTCTTGCAAAGCACCTGGCTTTGATTGTCAGCACCGACACGGAGGCTTACCACCCCATGTGCCACACAACCATGTGGTGCAAGACACTCACAAATAAGACAGACCTAGACATGTATTTAAAAGGAGAGAGAGAAAGAACAGCAAAGGTGAAGTCGGAGAGCTGTGAGCGACGCCCACCTCCTCTGCCACCCGAGCCACAGGCATGCAGACACCACACTGCCTCCGTGTCCCACACACCTTTCTAGTGTCACGTAGCCGCTGCAGCAGGCCCTCATATCTGCACAACAGGCATACTCACCCACCTCAAGCCCTACTCCCTCTTCTGAAGCCTTTGGCTCTATGGTCTGTAGCACAATCATTGTGTTATATTGATAGTGACTCCACGTCACACCCATTCTCCCAAGACAGCCTGTACTCACTTGGCGCTGGCCCACGCTCTCCCTGTGTCCAGTAACCATCCGCCTCTGTCTCTACATACTCTTCTTTTGGACTTTTTGCACAGGTAGACGCATACAACCGAGGCTTTCTGAGATGTGGCATGGATAATACTCACTCCTCGTCCTAGCTGACTAGCGTTATTTTACCCTATGGGCAGGGGACAGTTAGCTCATTCATTCATCCAGTCCCATATCTACTTTTAGACACTGCTTCTCTAACTTTTGTGTGTGTGTGTGTGTGGGTACAAGTGTCTGTGTCCCAAGTTCATAAAAAACTTAGCACCTGCCCTTTAGAGACACACACACAGAGAGAGAGAGAGAGAGAGAGAGAGAGAGAGAGGAGAATATCTGTGCACTGCTGTGCAGAGGCCAGAGGTAGGATCTTTCTCTGAACCTGGAGCTTGTGTACTCTCCCCACCCACCTCCTTAGGGTGGTGGCCACCAAGCCCTAGCTTGTTCTCAGCTCACGTTGCATCAATGCTTTAGCTAGGATCACTAACATGTTTAACCCTATAGTTGGCATGTTACATGGGTACTGTGACCTGAACTCAAGTCCTTTCTCATGTTTGCTCACTGAGCACCCTTAACCACTAAGCTTTGGACTCTTGAGCTTCAAGCACCTCTTCCTGAGACTCTGATGTAGCCCAGGCTGGCCTCACGCTCTTTGTTGAGGGTAACCTTGAATTTCTGACCCCTCATGCCTCTACCTCCTGAATGCTGGGATTTCGGGTCTGTGCCACCATACCTTTCAGCACTCTCAGTGACGGCTCATGAAATGAGCCGTTTCTCCAGCCCTTCAGCTTTTCCCCGAGATGCAGTCTCATGTACAAGCTGGCTTTCGACTGCCAATGTATCCAAGGATGACCTTCTGTTCCTGATCTTCCTGCCTCTGCTCCTTGCATTCTGGGGTGACAGGTGTATACCACACACAGTTTATGAGGTGCTGGGGATGGGACGTAGGGCCTTGGGTATGCTAGGCTAAGTGTTCTGCCACGCAGGCTGCCCAGCCCTCAATCATCTCTTCAGAGAGATATTACAAACAATGCTGCTGTGCACAGCTGTGTAGAGGACTGTGGGCATATGCAGTTTTTGGTTTTTTCTTTTTCATTCTCTGAGACAGGCTTTCTCTGTACAGCTCTGATTGTCCTGGAACTCTCTGTAGACCAGGCTGCCCTTCAACTCTAGAGTATTTTTGGTTTTGTGAAACAGGGTCACACTGTGTAGCTTTGGCTGGCCTAGAGTTCAATATGTAGACCAGGCTTGGCCTTGAATGCAGAGATTCAACTGCTTCTACAAGGTGTGCCCTACCAAACCTAGCTTAATTTTACTCTTTAAACTTTACTTTTTATGTGTCTGAGTATTTTATCTGCCTGTGTCTGTACACCATGTGTCTACAGTGCCCATGGAGGTCAAAAGAGGGCACATAGCCCCTGAAACCAGATGTAAAGCCCTGTCCCAGTCCCGCCCATTTTCAGAGGGGCTGATGTCTTAGCCATGAGCTGTAACAACTACTGTCTATTAGGCTTGGGCCTCTCAGCTATGTGGCTACAATGTGTAGCCTCCCTTTGTAAGGGCTTTTACTTTCTGGATAAAGTTTTGTTTATTT